CCAGCTAAAGGGGGGAGACAGCGCACATCAGCCTACTGAGACCCCAGCTAAAGGGGGGAGACCGCGCATGCCAGCCTACTGAGGCCCCAGCTAAAGGGGGGAGACCACGCATGCCAGCCTACTGAGACCCCAGCTAAAGGGGGAGACCGCGCACACGAGCCTACTGAGACCCCAGCTAAAGGGGGGAAACCGCACATGCCAGCCATGAGGCCTACCAGCCTACTAAAGGGGGAGACCACGCACCCAGCCTACTGAGACCCCAGCTAAGGGGGGAGACCGCGCACACCAGCCTACTGAGACCCCAGCTAACGGGGGGAGACCGCGCACACATGCCTACTGAGACCCCAGCTAAAGGGGGGAGACCCGCACACTCCAGCCTGCCTGAGACCCCCAGCCGAAGGGGGGAGACCACACACGCCAGCCTGCCTGAGACCCCCAGCCAAAGGGGGAGACCGCACACACCAGCCTGCCTGAGACCCCCAGCCAAAGGGGGAGACCGCACACGCCAGCCTGCCTGAGACCCAGCTAAGGGGGAGACCACACACCTACTCCGGACCCCAACAGGTACCTGTGTCATACTATCCTATTCCCTGGGAGACCAGGCACCCTGTCAGATCTGTGAATGTACGCTTCCCCTGTTTTGCCTGAACTGTTCCTGAGCTGCCCCTCTACCTCCCCTGTTGGATTACAGTCTGCCTCAGAGATTTTACCTTTGCCCCTTGGAGCTGAACTACAAGTGTTTTCGCCCTCTCCTTGCTATTCCCCTATTGGCTAAGTCACCCTCCCTGCAATTCCCCCATTGAGTGACTGTCATTTTGTCTCAATAAAGCTTTGTGTGTTTGCCATCTGCTCTGTGTGTCCTGTCCTGCCTACCCTCCATCACAGGCACCTCATACACATTGTAGTGTGGCTTCACTGTTAACGTGTATTTTAGCTTTGGTAACTCTGCAAGCAACGGCTTTTAAAGATACAAACACTGGAGGGGATTAGCGCCCTCCACATGTGCCAGTTCCTACAGGGGGAAGTCAGCTTATTATTGTTTTAAAGCCCTATTCTAATATTGTACAACCAATACAGTCCAGATAATTGTCTGTCTGCAGAAAACCTACATGGATCACATGACCACATCAATGAGGATGGAGGAGGACCGGAGTCACATGACTGAGAGGATACTAAACCTCACCCTGGAGATCATCTACCTGCTGACCGGAGAGGTGAGGAGGATTCTGGGAGGTCACATGACATCACTCTTATCTCTATTAATAAAACAGACCTGACCGGAGAGGGTGAGGAGGATTCTGGGAGGTCACATGACATCACTCTTATCTCTATTAATAAAACACAGACCTGACCGGAGAGGTGAGGAGGATTCTGGGAGGTCACATGACATCACTCTTATCTTCCAATAATAAAACAGAGACCTGACCGGAGAGGTGAGGAGGATTCTGGGAGGTCACATGACATCACTCTTAAATCCTATTAATAAAACAGAGACCTGACCGGAGAGGTGAGGAGGATTCTCGGAGGTCACATGACATCACTCTTAAATCTATTAATAAAACACAGACCTGACCGAAGAGGTGAGGAGGATTCTGGGAGGTCACATGACATCACTCTTATCTCTATTAATAAAACACAGATCTGACCAGAGACGTGAGGAGGATTCTGGGAGGTCACATGACATCACTCTTATCTCTATTAATAAAACACAGACCTGACCGGAGAGGTGAGGAGGATTCTGGGATCCTAACATGATATTCCTATTGGTTCCTCAATACAGAGATTTCCTCCTCTGAAGTCAGGTGATCATATGACCATCACAGTGCCTCCATGTGACTCCCTAAACCCTGAGAGACACAACATGGAGAAGATTCTAGAAGTCACCAAGAAGATGATGGAGCTGCTGACAGGAGAGGTGAGCGGTGCCGGGAATTCTGGGGACATTCTCCAGTAACAGACAAGGGATGTGTCTGGATGGTGACTGTATCATTGTGTGTGTCAGGTTCCTATAAGGTGTCAGGGTGTCACTGTCTATTTCTCCATGGAGGAGTGGGAGTATTTAGAAGGACACAAGGATCTCTACAAGGACGTCATGATGGACAATCAGCCGCCCCTCACATCACCGGGTAAGAGGAGACTTTATTGTAAAGGAGAGAGCAGTACGGAGGATCCACCTAGATCCCCCATCATCTGATAAACACATAGAAAACAATGGATTCAGTCAGTGTGTGTGTTTCCTACAGATGGATCCAGTCATGGGAACCCACCAGAGAGATGTCCCCGTCCTCTGTATTCCCGGGATTCCACACAGGAAGGTCACACCATCCCTCACCTTCATCAGGTAGATGGATCCAGTCATGGGAACCCACCAGAGAGATGTCCTTGTCCTCTGTATTCCCGGGATTCCACACAGGAAGGTCACACCACCCTCACCATCATCAGGTAGGAGGAAGGAATATCTGGACTTGTGGAGACAATGTGAGGATTTTTTTTCTCTGAGCTTATATATTACAAATGTTATTTTCAATCCATCTCTTGGTTTAGGGTGAAGATCTGATAGAATATAAAAGTTGAGGTTAAATCAGAAGAAGAAGAGGCGTATGTGAGGGATGATCAGCAGTCCATGGAGGAGGATGGAATAACGGGGACATTTATAGTGAGGACACTCCTACAGAGATCAGCACAGGTGGGTCACCTGACAGCAAAATGTGGACTTTCATCATAGGCAGTACTGGACCTAGGAACCTGGGCCTTGAGTCATCTTCTCCATGCCCGGGTCTAGTAAGATCTCTGACAGAACAATTCTCCCCAGGGTTCCTTTCTCTGTGGTCTGCTGGCTGTGCCGGGTGGAGGGATATGTCTGTATAGTCAGTAAGTACAGCCTCAGGAGATGGGAGGGAGCGGTGTTGAACCTCTTTAGCTTTTGACAGTTACATTTAGGGGGAGATTTACTAAAACTGGTGCACACAGAGTCATGGTGACACTGTACTACTTGTGGGCGGTGATGAAGATTTTTATTTTTATACTGATTGCTTTTACACCCATAAAGGCTGTAAAAGCAATAATTTCTCCTTCTCTCTGGCTGCATTCTTGCAGCCTTTGAGAACTACAGTGTGAGCTGTGATTGGTCACAGCTTGTCACATGGTACAAGGCTGTTGTGAATAGCCTTGTACCATGTGACCTCTGTGATCATTCACAGATTTCACACGTAGTAAGCAATGATATCAGGAAGTGACATCTTGCTTACTACTTTGCATGTGATCACTGATTGGCAAATCAGTGATCACATGATCGGGACCTCGCATAGAGGTCCCGTACGACGATCGGTGTTCTACTGTGTCTGGAGGACACAGCAAGCACAAGCAGGGGGCGGGGAGGCCGTTTTATAAACGGCCACTCGACTCTGCACTGCCACCGTCCGGCTATTTATATACATGGGCTGGACGGGAGATGGTTAATTGCACAAGCTGAAGATAGAAGCTGATGGGGTTTATTATGTACAGCTGCACCTGGATTCTGAGAGCTCCAGTTTTAGTAAATCTCCCCCTTAGACTACCACTGTTTACTGATACCAATATTATTGGTCCTGACTATCAGACTATATAATGTATATTACACAATACGTGGTCTTAAGCCCCGCACTCTATACTTTCTATACATTACTATCTTGTACATTACATACTACCTGACCCCTGCACTATATACACTCTGTTGTACATTACATACTCCTGCACTATATACTCTCTGTTGTACATTACATACTCCTGACCTCTGCACTATATACTCTATGTTGTACATTACATACTCCTGACCCCTGCACTATATACTCTATGTTGTACATTACATACTCCTGACCCCTGCACTATATACTCTATGTTGTACATTACATACTCCTGACCCCTGCACTATATACTCTATATTGTACATTACATACTCCTGACCCCTGCACTATATACTCTATGTTGTACATTACATACTCCTGACCCCTGCACTATATACTCTGTTGTACATTACATACTCCTGACCCCTGCACTATATACTCTATGTTGTACATTACATAATTCTGATACTATATAGTTCTCTCTGCTGTATCTTATACAATATGTTGTACATTCCATAGTCCTGACTTCTGCTCGCCCCCCTCCCCCCTCTGCTATATATACACATAATATGGATTCTCTTTTGTTACACCCATTTCCTCCCAGCTGGACATTTTATATCGGATGATGTGATTGGAGCACAGACTTTTACATGGTGATAATAATGTGATAACATCCTCCAACTTTGGACCCTTAAACAGAAAGTGATAATGAGGGAGGAGTCAATACCCCAATGATGGTGGTCTTCAGGATCAGTCCAGTCTCCATCTTGGTTGTTCTCCCCCCATCCTCACTCTATGACCTCTGGTGGGGCTCAGCCCCGCTGTTCTTCATGACTAAATCATGGACTAAATAAGGAAGTGCAGTACTTCTTGTGTTGGGAAGATGGTGATGAGTGATAGAGGGGGTGGGGACCCTCGTCCTATAATCCCCTCCTCACTGTCCCTCCTATAAAAGACAGTTCTGGTTGTTTCCCTCACTCTCTGACTAAGGTCCATGAATAAAGAAATGACCTGGTAGGAGATCAGAGGAGCCATTTCCTAGTTCCCTTGAGGGTGTGGAATTGTAAGCTCCTCAGAGACCAAGCTGCCTGATGTGGGCGGAGTCCTGGTTTGGGGGAACCAATCAGCTCCTGTCTAGTAATCCTCTTTGTCTTTGTATTTTAGTCCATGGCCGGAGATGAGGAAAACCTCCGAGGATTGTCTCACTTTGTCCCCAGACTGGAAAGTTGAAGATGAGGACATCACACAGTATAGTCCAGGAGAAAACCCGGCTCCCTCCAATGTCCATCTGGCACCACCCAGTGTAGATGGACCATCGGATTCCTCATATCCTGAGGAACCTCAGACTGTGCGGGACTGGGCCGGCCTGCCAACAGGGAAGAGCGTGTCCTGTACTGAGTGCGGGAAGAGTTTCTATTCTAAATCCAGTCTTAATTTGCATAAAAGATCTCACACGGGGGAGAAGCCGTATTCCTGTCCTGAGTGCGGGAAATGTTTTCCACAGAAGTCCCATCTTTACAGACATCAGAGAATTCACACAGGGAAAAGCCTTATTTATGTTCTGAGTGTGGAAATTTTTTCAAATACATCCAATCTTCTTAATCATCAGAGATTACACACAGGTGAGAAGCCATATTCCTGTTCTGAGTGCGGGAAATGTTTTGTACGAAAATCAGAACTTGTCGTACATCAAAGGTCTCACACGAAGGTAAAGCCATATTCTTGTCTGGAATGTGGGAAATGTTTTTCACGGATATCCCATCTTTACAGACATCAGAAATCTCACACAGGGGGAAAAGCCATATTCCTGTCCTGAGTGCGGAAAATGTTTTTCAGATATGTCCAATCTTCATAGTCATCAGAGATTACACACAGGTGAGAAGCCGTATTCCTGTTCTGATTGCGGGAAATGTTTTGTACGAAAATCAGAACTTGTCCTACATCAAAGGACTCACACGAAGGTAAAGCCGCATTCCTGTCCTGAGTGTGGGAAATGTTTTTCACGGAAGTCCCATCTTTACAGACATCAGAAATCTCATACAGGGGAAAAGCCCTATTTCTGTCCTGAGTGCGGAAAATGTTTTCCAGAAATGTGCCATCTTATTAGTCATCAGAGATCGCACACAGGTGAGAAGCCATATTCCTGTTTTGAGTGCGGGAAATGTTTTGCACAAAGATCCATACTTGTCACACATAAGAGATTGCACACGGGGGAGAAGCCATATTCCTGTCCTGAGTGTGGGAAATGTTTTTCACAGAAGTCCTATCTTTACAAACATCAGAAATCACACACGGGGGAGAAGCCGTATTCCTGTCCTGAGTGCGGGAAATGTTTTTTACAGAAGTCTGATCTTTACAGACATCAGACATCTCACATGGGGAAGAAGCCGCCTTCCTGTCCTGAGTGAGGGAACTGTTCCTCACTGAAGTCCTATCTTCCTGTACATCAGGGATCCCACACAACCCTGGAGGTGTATTAGTGCCTTGAGTGCGGGAAAAGTCTTCTAGATGAATGTTGCTGGACATCCCAGCTCTCATGTGGGGAAGAAGCACACCCTGATATACACCTCAGATATACTCCATGGCTGATCTTCATCATGGAAGAAACAGTTCATGAGATCAGAGGTCCCCAAAGACATGGATGAAGTGTGGGACCGGGTTGGCCATTGGTAGCAGGAGATACCTTTTATTGCCTGAGTACATTTTGTGGTGTAGCCTTAGAGGTCTGGGGTTTTTTTTTTACATTACCTAAACAAATGTGACCAGATGATGGAGAAATTAATATTTCCTTGACTGTGGCTTGTGATGATCATGACGTCAGATCCCAGCCCTCCACACCAAACCTTGTGACCGAAGGACTAGCCAATCTAAAACCGCGATGTCACGTGCGTAACAATGCCACGCCCAGCTGCACCCTGCACAACGATTTTCCAGCTAATGGACCACAATCGATGTAACACCGGCAGCCTGAGCGTGATTGTTACTGGGTCAGGTTAATTATGCAATTAACCCTTCACACTGCCACCACCTCCTCAGAGAAAGAGGAAACTCTGCAATATCAGCAATAACACTATGATGGTTGAAATAATCGTCTGTATACCACTGTCACCGCAGGTAGGTTATACAGAGGGTTAAACACACAGTAGCGCTCTTCAGCGGCAGGAATTCGTACTTTGCATTAAAGGCGTTAGAAACAGTTCAACACTTTCAGAAAGTAAGATTTATTACTAAAAGGTCAAAAGGGTGCAATAAAAAATATTTACAGAAAAAGATGTAACCAATATATATATATAAATATACAGAGAATAGCACAGCAAAGAGATAACAGAAAGGAATTTAGAGGGCTAAAGTACTTGCCAGTCATCCTTGGTGTACGCAGCTTCAAGTTTCATAAGTCAAAAGGATTTATCTCCCACTGTCAGTTTTGATGTTAGGACAGGAGACCTTCTTCTCTTCTCTCCCTTAACTCAGCTCAGCTTTTCAAGTATCTCCACCGGGTGCCTCCCTGGAGCAGTAAAACCAATCGTCTCCTTTTGGGGAGGGAGGTGTAGGTGGAGCCCTAAGTTATGACCAGAAAACTCTCATAGCTGCTATTTGGATTCATAACTCATTCTCGGGGACATTTGGCAGCCTGGGCACTAGGATATTAATACTCAGCAGCATCTGCGGAATGGTTAGAGATGAAACATGTCATATACACTTGAATGGTTCAGGAGATATACTTTCCTGCCCTCCTATATATTCCAGATAGGGAGTGTAATATACCAAACAGTTTGTATTAACTTATCCAATCTGACGATATGCCCGTTTTTATGTAAGTCTCTCATATTCAAAGATATGAAATCATAGGGGAAAATGGATGTTGAATGTGGTGTCTTGTTTTATGCCTTCTCTGGAATGTCTTTGAACTCCCATGAAGGACTTTGCTAAGCTTTTACGATATCCCAGATTGCACAGCCACCAGACGGGGGCACCTAGCTGGTGAGGTTTTATAGCCAGGATGCCCTCCCACTGGGTTTCGATGCCTTTTTGAACTCTGCATCAAACGGACCACATGTCACTCAACAGAGAGGGAGGGGGGATGATTGGAGGAGGAAGGCTGCTTTGGGAGTGAGAGATGGTACAACATGGAAAATTCTTAACAAAATGGAGGACCGCATCCGTCTCTGTGTGCACGATTGCTGCATGGCCCACTAATGTATAAGAATGCCTCCAAATCCTGATTAAGGGGCCCTATAAGGATGATTACCTTAACTGACCTAATGCTATAGGAATGTTATTGTAAACTGAACATATGGCCACGCCCACTAATTTCCTTGCAGGGAATACATTATCTTCTTTTTAAAGGTAATATTGCTTATGATTGGTCAAATACTACCAACTAATCCTGTATATACATGGAAACAGAGGGCGCTCTGGCCTAGTGCATTAGCTGAGAGTTTAAAGAAGATATATACTCACAAACGACTGTGCTGGCAAAGGCATATCAGTATCCAAAGTAATCACGTCACCAGGTCAGCTCCCAAAGTACGAGAAGACCCTCAATGGTTGACGCGTTTCGAGGAGCGATCCCCTCTTCTTCTTCCATTTTAATCGGCTCTGAGAGGGGTTCGCCCCTCGAAACACGTCAGCAGGGGCGGACTGACAACTCATGGGCCCCCCGGGCAATAGGGGATCATGGGCCCCCCTGTGTCCTCGCCCCACACCCAAAAAAGCCTATGAAAAAGCCAATGAAAGGGTACCAAGAGCATCTTATGGGGCCCCCTACTGACCCCCGGCCCTCGGGCAGTGCCTGAATGCTCAAATGGTCAGTCCGCCCCAGCACATCAGCCATTTGAGGGTCTTCTCATGCTTTGGAAGCTGACCTGGTGACGTGATTGCTTTGGCGCTCCTGCCTAGTGAATTACCTGAGAGTTAAAAGAAGATATATACTCACAAACGACTGTGCTGACAAAGGCATATCAGTATCCAAAGCAATCATGTCACCAAGTCAGCTCCCAAAGCATGTGAAGACCTTCAAATGTGTGACGCATTTCGAGGGGTGATCCCCTCTTCTTCCATTTTAATCGGCTCTGATGAAGAGCTTTGAAATATGTCAGTCATTTGAAGGTCTTCTCATGCTTTGGAAGCTGACCTGGTGACGTGAGTGCTGTGGAGCACCGGCCTAGTGAGAGTTTAAAAGAAGATATATACTCACAAATGACTGTGTTGACAAAGGCGTTCCAAAGCAATCACGTCACCAGGTCAGCTCCCAAAGCACGAGAAGACCTTCAAATGGCTGACTCATTTCGAGGGGCGATCCCCTCTTCTTCAATTTTAATTGGCTCTGATGAAGAGGGGATCACACCTCAAAATGCGTCTGAGGGTCTTCTCGTGCTTTGGCAGCTGACCTGGTGACATGATTGTTTTGACGCACCAGCCTAGTGAATTACTTGAGAGTTAAAAGAAGATATATACTCACAAACGACTGTGTTGGCAAAGGCATATCCGTATCCAAATCAATCACGTCACCAGGTCACCTCCCAAAGCACGAGAAGACCTTCAAATACACTGATGCGTTTCGAGGGGCGATCCCCTCTTCTTCCATTTTAATTGACTCTGATGAAGAGGGGCTCACGCCTCGAAACGTGTCTGACATTTGAGGGTCTTCTCGTGCTTTGGGAGCTGACCTGGTGATGTGATTGCTTTGGATACGGATATGCCTTTGTCAACACAATCGTTTGTGAGTATATATCTTCTTTTAACTAAGGCATATCCATATCCAAAGCAATCACGTCACCAGGTCATTTCCCAAAGCACGAGAAGACCCTCACATTATTTGACACGTTTCGAGGGGCGATCCCCTCTTCTTCCATTTTAATCGGCTCTGATGAAGAGGGGCTCGCCCCTCGAAACACGTCAGCCATTCAAAGGTCTTCTCATGCTTTGGAAGCTGACCTGGTAGCGTGATTGCTTTGTCGCACCGACCTAGTGAATTACCTGAGAGTTAAAAGAAGATATATACTCACAAACGACTGTGTTGACAAAGGCGTATCGAAAGCAATCACGTCACCAGGTCAGCTCTTAAAGTACGAGAAGACCCTCAAATTGTTGACGCGTTTCGAGGGGCGATCCCCTCTTCTTCCATTTTAATTGGCTCTGATGAAGAGGGATTGCCCCTCAAAACACGTCAGCCATTTGAAGGTCTTCTCGTGCTTTTGGTGCTGACCTGGTGACGTGATTGCTGTGGCGCACCGGCCTAGTGAATTACCTGAGAGTTAAAAACACAAATGACTGTGTTGACATATCCATATACAATGCAATCACGTCACCAGGTTAGCTCCCAAAGCATGAGGGCTCTGATGAAGAGGGGATCGCCCCTCGAAATGCATCAGCATTTGAAGGTCTTCTCGTGCTTTGGAAGCTGAACCGGTGACATGATTGCTTTGGCTACTGATATACCTTTGCCAACACAGTCTTTTCTGAGTATATATCTCCTTTTACCTCTCAGGTAATGCACTAGACCGGTGAGCCTTCTGTTTCCTTGTTTTTGCAGTGGGCACTTTGGGTTTTCCCCGACCCTTAGAGGGCAGCAAGGCGTGTGCTGCTGTTCTCAAGGGCCAGAAATATTTCCATCATTTCACCACTCTTGAGACGCAGGAGGCGGTTCTCTTGTTCCTTGACTGTAATCCTGTATAAACTACAGCTAAAACTTGTCACATTGGTCTCATACTAGGGTAAGCACGCCCCGAGTTTGATCATTGTGCCACGCCGCAAAGACGGGAGACTCTGTGGAGAAAAAGCATCTATAGCTAAGTCTTCTTGTTACATTTTCCA